CTCCCCGCTCAGCGGGAAATCTGCTTCTCCCTCTCCCACTCCCCCTGCTTGTGTTCCCTCTCTCGCTGTGTCTCTCTCTATCAAATAAATAAAATAAAAAAAAAAAACTTGAACTTTTCTGAGGTTGAGATTTTGGAAAAGGAATGGTTCTAGCTGATACTTTCGGCTAACAATTGACTGTTTTTAAGGCAAGAATACAAATGGCTGTTAAACATGAGAGAGATGATGGGTCTCACTCCATTAAAGCCGGGCAAAACAAAATTTCAGGAGTCACATCTTTCACCCGCAGGATGATGGCGAGGCAGAATTTTGACGACGCTGTTTGGCCTGGGGAAACAGCACTGCCTGGTGTCATTTGGGAGAGTGTGACATGGCACACACTCTTGAAATAATATCCACTAAAATGGCACACACTGAACCAGAAGTTTCCACTTCTTGGAATTTATTTTACAGACAAACGAAGGTGTAAATGGGCAAAGGCACAGGTAGAAAGGATACTCACTGGAATAGTCTGGGAATCGTCCAAGTGCTTATCCGTACAGAACTGATTCAGTCAGTTAAGGTCCATCCACACAGGAGGGCAGTGTAAAGGGCCAGATGCTAGTTTGGGTTCTGTGGACCATGAGGTCTCTCTAGAGGCCGATCTGCCCTCACAGTCTGAAAGCCCCCACAGACAGTACGTAAACACATGGGCATGGTTGTGTCCCAGTAGAGCTTTATTTGTGGGCCAGATTTGTCCGAGGAGCCATAGTTTGTGGGTCCCCGCGGGGCAGTGGTAGCCCCCCGAGCAAGCGCGCGCTGGCCGGCTGCGCACGAGGCACAGGGGGAGGGAGAAGCACGAGGCTGTCAGACACTGTCTGTGAGCTGTTGGCTTGTACGCCCGTCCGCGTGTCTGCGCATCAGGTGTCTCTAGAAAGGGACACAGATCCTTCCTAACAGTGGCTGCCTTTGGGGAGGGGACAGAAGTCGGGTTGGGGAAGAATGAAGTGGGGTCAGGACTAGGGGGGAAATGGGGTGAGGACATGAAAGGAGGCCTAACCTTTGGATGGCTGGGATTTCTGCTGTGGGCATGTGTGACTTTTCCAAAAACAAGCGAGGAAACAATAAAAGCCAAGCCACACATTGTTCTCCGGTCATGTGCTAGCGTCACTGTTGATGCCAGGATCTAAGAGCCGAGTAGAGCTGGGTGCAGATGGGTCCCTCCCTCGTAGGAGTGGGCTGCCAGTCGGAGAGCTGGCTCCAGGGCAGAGAGGGAGGGTCACTCGGCTTCCAAAGCTTAGCACCCAGGTTCCTTTGGGAAGCCACCCCTGACCCCGAGTCTGATGTGGGCCCTGCGTCATTTTGTCCCAGCTCTTCCCACACTGTAGTCTTCTGGCCTGTCTCTTTGACTGGAGGACAGGGATAGGGACCATGTCTCGTTTATCTTGCTATCCCCAGCACCCAGCGTGGAACCTCATACCTGACCTCATAGGCACCTCATAATTGTTTAATGAATAAAGGAATGTCCTTGGGGGCACCTGGGTGGCTCAGTCGGTTGACCCTTGATTTCGTCTGACCCTTGATTTCGGCTCGTGCCCTGGTCTCGGTGTTGTCAGATGGAGCCTCACATCCAGCTCCGTGCTCAGCGCAGAATCTGCTTGTCTCTCTCCCTCTGCTCTTCCCCCAGTTCATGCGCAGGTACTCGCTCCAAGAATGCTACCCCATTCTTGAAGCCAAGGACATTGCTTTACATTCGGGAAGACAGGCTTGGAGCAAGGGAGGAAGATAGTGAGTGGAGGGAGGCCAGAGTCTCGGCTGTTGGGACCAGGCAGGATGGTGAGCTGGTGAGCTGGTGGGCGGCATGGGGTATTGTCGGAAGCAGTGCTGAGGGAGGGGGGCTCCTCCCCGGTGGTGGGTTGAGCATGGAAGAAGAAGAGCAGCCTCTGCTCGGGAGGGTCTCCAGGGAGGCTGAGTTGGGGGAGGCAGGCAAGGTAGCGCTGTGAAGGGCCACAGGCACGAGAAGAGAAGTGGCTAATTCTGCCTAGGGTTGGAGGTTAGCCGTCAGGCTTGGCCTTGAAAGATGACAGAGAATTTGCTCTTGTGCGTGGAGGGGTGGGGAGCAGTAACATTTTAAATAGGAGTCTGAGAAGGCCTCTCAGGAGACGCTGTGAACCAGTGGGCTCATGGATGACCCTGAGCCAGACCTTGCCCACCCTGGTGAGAGCGGCCCCTGGCTATGTGACATTGGGGAAATTGCTTAAGCTCTCTGATGATCTTCTCATTCAGTGACATTTTCTCGACCATTTACAAAATGCCGTCTGTGTGCCAGCCACTCGGACCTCAACGACAGCAATTATAGTTATCTTATTTTGCTCCCGGCACTGGGCTGTGTGCCTTCTAGTTGGTATCTCATTATTCCCTCAAATCCTGTTTTACAGATAAGGAAACTAAGCTCAAAGAGGTTAAGTAACTAGCCCAAGGTCATTGCAGCAGGTAAATGCCAGAGCTGAGACTCAAACCCAGACCCAGCTGGGCGAACCGTGGGTACCACCGTTCCCCTCCAGACAGGAGGAGTGGGCCCTGCCATACGGAACGCTGAACGAGGACCTGGCCCCTGGCCCATGGAGATCCTCGGCCCTGTTGGCCCCTTCTCTCCATCGCCAACCTTTGTCTTTCAGGACATCATCCCCTTTGGCAACAACCCCATCTTCCGCTACCTCTTTGGTTGGATGGTGCCTCCCAAGATCTCCCTCCTGAAGCTGACCCAGGGCGAGACCCTGCGCAAGCTGTACGAGCAGCACCACGTGGTGCAGGACATGCTGGTGCCCATGAAGTGCCTGTCGCAGGCAGTGCACACCTTCCACAACGACATCCATGTGAGCCGGGGACGGCACCCTCTGGGCCTCAGTGTTCCCAGCTGTAAAATGGGCCTGCTCCGTGATGGCCCTGAGAGGAGAGAAGGCATGGGGGCTGCTGCTGAGCACCTCTGTGAACTGTTCACGTTTGTGCCCTCTAACGTGGCAGAGTGGAGGCGCTGTCGGCCATAGCCTCGGGGATCGGGAGCAGAGCTGTGGGCAGCCAGAGAGAGGGGTCTCTGGGTGGGGGTGGAGTGGGCCTGCCATGAGCCTGGCACCTGTTGGAGAAAAAACACCAACGCCCCTCTCCCTGGTCCACCCAGGTCTACCCCATCTGGCTGTGCCCGTTCATCCTGCCCAGCCAGCCGGGCCTGGTGCACCCCAAGGGAGATGAGGCCGAGCTCTATGTTGACATTGGAGCATATGGGGAGCCACGCGTGAAGCACTTTGAAGCTAGGTCGTGCATGCGGCAGTTGGAGAAGTTCGTCCGAAGCGTGCATGGGTGAGTGGCCCAGAGCGTGGCACGCTTTCTCCGGCCGCCAGCCCCAGGGTGCTGCTGCTGGGGGTGTAGAGTAAGGTCAAGGTGGCCAGCCCCGAGCCAGCCCCACTGGTTGCCGAGGGAGTGTGGAGCCGTAGTGGCCTCTGGTTTGGAAAGTACCTTGAGAAAGTCTGGAGGTGGGATTTCTCACCCCTCTTCCTCACAGCCCTCCCATGAGCACACCAGCATCCCCCAGGTGCTCGGGCCAGAGCCCCGGGATCACCCTGCGCCGCTCCCCAGAGCAGATGGTGGTGTGGTTTTAGATAGGTTCCGGGCTGCTACTCGGGGTTGGAGGAGCTCAGCGAAGGAGGGAGGGATTCGTGACTGAAAGCCGCACAGAGGCCCAGGACAGCGTAGCTCAGAAACCAGCCTCGAACAAACCCTTGAGGTATTTAATACATGGACACATCTCAGAATAGTTACGCTGATTGAAAAAACCAGGAAAAAGGAGTACTGTATGATTCCAGGTATACGAAAGTCCCGAATCCACAGTGACAGAAAGCTGAGCCGCCTGGGTGGTGGAGGGCAACGGACGACATGGGGCCATGATCAAAGTTTGGGGGGTGATGGATGTGGGGGCAAGTGTAAACGAGAAATCCTCCACGAGCGCTTCCTGCGGCTCATCGGGGACACAGCCGGGGCCTCTCGGGTCCCTTCCCCTCCCCTCAGCCTCCCCGTCCTGTGCTTCCCAGGTTCCAGATGCTGTATGCCGACTGCTACATGAGCCGGGAGGAGTTCTGGGAGATGTTCGACGGCTCCCTGTACCACAGGCTGCGGGAGCGGCTCGGTTGCCAGGACGCCTTCCCTGAGGTGTACGACAAGATCTGCAAGGCCGCCAGGCACTGAGCGTGGGCCCGCCCGGAAAGAGACAGACATGTGGGTGGGCCCTGTCCCCAGGTCCAGGAGGCATCTTCTCTTCACTCAAGCTTGACTGCTCTCCCAGATCCACGCTTCCAGAAAGAACCCCCTCCAGAAATCCCACGCAGACTGCCCCGATGGCTAGCTCTGGCTCCCAGAGGCAGCCGAGTGGAGGGCAAAGGATGTGGGCTCTGGAGTCAGACGTACCTGAGTCCCGTTCCCAGTTCAGCCCCTCGTGAGCTGTGTGACTCTGGGCGAGTCACTCAGCCCTTCCGGACCCAGCTGTCCACCTGGTGAAGGGGGTCACAGTGCCTGCCCGCAGGCCATGGGCATCGGGGTCCGGTGGCGGTCTGGCGGCAGGTGCTGAGGGCCGTAGCTGGGCTGACTCTGGCTTCCCGCTCAGCGCCGAGTCCAGGAAGGCCCCGCGTGAGGTCACCTGGGCGCAGTTCTGGCTGGAAGGGTGAGGGGATGTTCCAGCGTCGCACCCGCCATTGCTTCAGTCGGCCAGACGCACCCCTCACAGACAGACGGAAGGAAGGTTCCTCTCCCTCCCCAGGGTCTCCGGAGGGCAACAGATGGGGCAGGCAGGCCCAGGACGCGCTGTGCCAAAGCCAGGTCCCAGTCCAAAGTTCCCTGTGCCATCCTTGGTGACGCCCTGCCCCTTCCTCCTTCCGGCCCACCGCAGCCATCACCCACGTCTCAGAGAGGACCGTGTCCTCGAAGACACTTCATGGCTGCCTCCTGTCCCAGCCCAGGCGGTGTGGCTCCCGCTCTGACCTAGGGCCGGAGCACCTGCGCCCATCCTTGGCTCCCCGACCCTCCGTGCCTCTTTTGGGCCCCAGAGCCTACCTAGTCACGGGGGGCGGGGGCTGCATCTACACTGCTCTGCGGCCTGGGGTGGGGGGTGGGGGGGTGGACCCCACCAAGCAGGAAGATGGAGGTTCAGTGTGGAGTCTCGCTGTGGGGCCCCAAGGAAAGACCATCAGCTTGATTTCTCCAACCACTCCTCCCTTCGTTCGCCCCCACCCATAGCTGTAGTTAATTTCAGTGCCTTACAAATCCTAAGCTCAGAGAAAATTAGCCCCGTTTCCCTTCCAGAAGGAAAGGAGCCTCCCTAGGTCCTTCCTGACTTGTTAAAAGCCTGGTTGGTTATGCAACTCCATCTGAAGAACGGCCCGTCCCCAGCTGAGGACCCAGCCTCTGAGAAGGAAGCGTGTCGTGTAGGGAGCTGGGATGGAGTGAACCGTGCCAGGCAGTGACCTGCTGAAAGCAAGAGCGAGCACTGCACTAGGAGACAGGAGCTGGCTGTCAGGCCCTGCTGGCTTATCAGCAAGCCGTGTGACCATGGGCGAGTCATCTGGCCCTGGAGCTGCGGCCCCTCACCTCCCCAGGCCTTTCCGCTGTGGGAGCGCATGACTGTCCCAGACCATGTGCTTGCAGTGCCGCTCAAGGCCAGACCAAACCTAAACCCTCCACGTGGGCGCTGTAAGGTCCTTCCTTCAGACCAAGGCCAGCTCTCCTGTCACTCAGAGAAGCGCACCTGTGGCACGCAGGGAAGGGTCTGCGTCTTGTCACTGCAGGTTGCCAGAAGCCCGATGGAGCCAGGCTTTCCCCGGGGGGATGCTCAGCTATCCCCCTGCAGCCTCAGCACACTGCCAGGTGTCCTCGCATGGTCCCGTGAGTGCTGGGCGCGTTTGTGACCCTCAGGAGGCAAAGGCACCCCCTCCCCCTGCCCTTACCCATTTGGCCTCTGGAGGGGGCATGAGAAAACTAAGAAACCTCATTCTCCAGCTTGTCTGCAGAGCACATGAATTCTGGCCTTCGCCCTCCTGGTGGGCGCCTGCGTTTCCCGCGCGATGCTAAACTGATGATCCTACTTCTTGTGGAGGAATGGTTAGCCCGAGCAGAGGGGCCCGGCCAAGAAGGCCCTGGCGTCCCACCAGAGGGGCCTCCATCCTTAAGCCGCCGGGAGGGTAGCCAGAGATGCTATAGCAGCCTCTACCGCCCTTAGTCCTAGAAAAACCAAAATCCTGCCCTTCGCAGACCTCACCCGGAAACGGGGGCTCGGAAGGGAGGGTCTCGGGATCACAGCAGCCTCAGGTTTACGTTTTGCTCCCATCATATGGTGACTTGCAAGCATGGCAGGCCGCGTGACCAGCTTTTTCCCCTTAGCCAGCCCCATCCCTGTCCATCCATGTGGTGGTTTCAGGGGGAGTGAAACTTGGCACTGGGGTGAGTGTGTGTGCAAAGTAAACAATAGGCCTTTCCCCTCCAGAGCCCCGAGTTTCTTGGCTGCACGAAGGTTTTCTGTAGAATCCGAGTTGCAGCCAGTTTCTTTGGCTGGAAGGTTGCATCATTTCATTAGCTGTTACAGAAGGGGAAGGGGTGGGGGATGCGTGCAGCAGTGCATGGTGTGTGGTTTTTATTTTTCCCATGACCGCGGGGACCAAGGAGAAAGGCCCGAGTGTCCCCGAGCAGGCTCTTGCAGCCGCAAGAGCTGTGCTTGCTGTCGGACACACTTCATGTCCCCGTGGCTGCGTGGCCGCTGCTTCTATACAAATAAAAGCGTGACCTGGAGACTAGCCTTCGTCGTTTCTTGTTGGAGGCTTGGGCTCCGGCGCCGGTGGGTTCCCCCTCTGGACCATGGACAAGGACTGAAGGACGACAGGGGGGAGGGCCGGGGATCGTGGGCGCTTTTCCCCGTTTTTGGACGTCTGCCGCTGGTCGCAATGTGACCCGGCGTAGGTGTGAATGGGATGCCGCTGACCGCAGGGGGAGAGGCTAGAAGCCAGGCGACCAGTGAGAAGGGCCCCGGGGAGGGGTGACGGTAGCTCGGATCAGGGAGGGGACGACTTCTTAGGGTGTCAGACGTGGTCATCAGGAGCTGCAGTCCTGATTGTCCGCTTGGTCACTAAAATCCTTTCTTCGAGCTGCTAGAACTGCCTTCCCCAGCCTCCCTTGCACTCAGGTGTCTCTAGTCTTCAGGAGATGTGAAGAGAAGTGGGGAAGACCTCCCACATGAGGTTCTGGCACTTTTCCCTTCTTAGCTGGATGCCAGTGACAACCAGGCCATACGGTTTGGCAGGGTCACTAGTTGGAAGGAGCCCGAATCCCTGAGTAACTGCAGTACTGCTCATCACCTGAGCCCTGGCCTGGCCTATTCCAGGAGCAAGAAACAGAGCTTTGTAGCTGAGTCACTACTCCTTGGGAGTGTTCGCTAGAGCTCCTGAAGTCACCCAAGTTGGTTGTCAGGCCTAAATGAGCAGAGATAAAAGAGCTGAGTTTGGTACACATGGATATACGTGATGGACATTTTCCTAAAATATGTGTGATATGAGGGTCCCATCCTAAGGTTATTTGGGAAGAACGCTTTAGGATGTTTCCAGTCGTTCAGTCTCACAAGTCTGGATTTTTGTGAACTCTCCTTAAATGAGGAGAAATCTTTAATGTTCCTTAAAATAGAATTTGTATCTTAAGCCTTAAATGCCACATGACACACAATCTCAGATTTTTTTTTAAGATTTTATTTATTTGAGAGAGAGAGAGCGAGAGACAGAGCATGAGCTGGGGGTAGGGTCAGAGGGAGAAGCAGACTCCCCGCTGAGCAGGGAGCCCGATGCGGGGCTCGATCCCAGGAGCCCGAGATCACGACCCGAGTCGAAGGCAGACGCTCAACTGACTGAGCCACCCATGTGCCCCTCGTATTGGATCTTCATCCTGTACCAGAAGCAGGTCAGTTTACACCCCCATTTTACAGGTGAGAAAGTGAGGCTCAAGGAAGGTCAAGTGATTTGCCTGAAGGCCACATGGACGCTATTAACAAATTAAACAAGGACGCAGAGCTGTATCTCATCTTACAGCACAGAAGTAGGGAATGAGCCTCAGCACCAGCTGAGACAGTCGCTCCAGCTCTGGAAGCAGTGAAATGAGCCCCCGTGGCTGGGCCTCACCTGTAGTGGGAGGTCAGAGTTCATGGCATGATCTGCGGAGAAGGGAGGCAGGGAGGGTTCGGCTCTGACTCGGGGCTTTTCCTTCCACCGGAGCCGCTCCTGTCTAAACAGACCCTCAGTCCACACACACAGTGTCCACACGTTGGCATTCATGCCAGAGTAGCAACAGTTGGTTTTCCAAACTTGGCTTAGTAGTGTGAAAAATCACACTACGCAAGTTAAATGTGGATGTATTTTTAAACTAGGCTTCCTAGTCCTGTCTTCGTGATTAAATGGTCTAACAGGTTTCATCTTGCATGACTACTCAAATTATTCAGGTGACTGCCCAGGCAGGCTGTGTTGAGAAAGAGAGTGAGGCTTTGTTGAGGTCTAGGAAGGGGTATTTCAATGGTGCTAGGGATGTGTATGTTGAAGCCCTAGTGTCCTGGTACTGGGAGGTGGGGCCTTCTGGAAGTAAGCGTGTCAGGAGGGTGGAATCCCCGTGATGGGGTTAGTGTCCTTAGAAGAAGAAACTCCAGAGATCTAGCCCTCTCTCTGATCGCTGCCATGTGAGGATACAAGATGTCCATCTGCAAACCAGGAGGAGGGCTCTTACCAGACACGGGATCTGCTGGCACCTTGATCTTGGACTTGTCAGCCTCCAGAACCGTGAGACATAAATGTTGTTTAATTCACCCAGTCTCTGGTAAGTTGTTGTAGCAGCTTAAACAGCTGACGACAGATGCTGTGAAGATTGTTGACCCAGTGGACCCAGAAATAGTTGAATCCTGCTCTGTCCATCACCTCTTCTCCCCACGGGGTTCCCTAGGGAGCAGTCCCAAGGGAATGAGTTTTTTAATGGGGCACTGCAAGGTAATAGAAAAAATATATAGTGGTCTCTGTCCCCAGTTCTTGGTACAGGGCTTCTAAAAAAACCTTTGTAATTTCCTAAGTGATGAAAGCACTAGAAACATCTTTTATTCTAATATTTGGCCTTTGACCCTGATTCCTGACTCTGAATCTAAATCCTAAATCCCTTGAAATTTCCTGGGTGATAGGAGTATCTTTTGTCCTAATGAAGCAACTCTGGGTGGGCTCCTGGTGGGCTCAGGGATGGAGCTCCAAGGGTCAAGTTAGAGAAGGTGAAACTCCCTTTAGGGCCAAAGGACCATGGCAGGGCCAGCAGCAGGGGCCAGGCTTGCTGAGGCCCAGGGCAGGCATCGAGGAGCCCATATTACAAGGATTCAGGACATGAGCTCGGAACAGGAGGGGCTTTCCCTGTCACCTGGCCTGGCTGTTGTGTCTGGGTCACTGTGGACTTGAGGTACAAGGCACTGGAGAGGGTTCCTGACAGTCAAAACCATCACCCTCGTTTACTGAGAACCTAACACAGCCAATAAAAGTCTCATCCTATTAACTAGGTTAGCTAAAGCATAAGTGCTGTGCAACCTAGGGAAACTTGTCCCTTCTCTGAGCCTGTTTCCTCTTGCAAAAGCCAGCTGTGCTTGATCGTGCTGAGGTATTAGATGACCAGCTACTTAGCTGCAACAGGACTGCCTATATGAGATGCCCACTCATTGTTATGTTACCTGTGGTCCAGATTGCAGGATGGTGCTGAGTCACAGGTCTGGTGACATGGCTTATGAAAGGCAGTTTTTGCCCTGCTCAGGGCTTCCCACAACTTGGCAGGACTTTATATTCAACTGGAAGAAACTGCTACCCTCCTAAGCAACCAGGGAGTTGCTAGATCCTGATGTGGAGGATGTCATGTGCCAGAGTGCTCACCCCAGTCTTCTGTGGACTACTGCAAGAGATTGAACTGGAATTGACAGTGGGCAAACCTTTACCCTGCTGTGGAACTCTTTTTCTCCAAAGCTTTTAGTCCAACATATCACAAACAGGGTTTGTACTTAGGTTCAAGCAGGGCAAAGCTAAGAGCCCAGCCCTCCTGCCTTCCTTCCCCAGAGGTCAAGGGACGCCTCAGTAGAGCCCAGTTAGCAAACCTCAGCTCTCCTTATAGCCCTGCCCAGGCAAAAGGGCAAAGGTCACAAGGAAGCCGGATTTCAGCTCAGCTTCCATAGGACACTTTTGCAGGCATGGCTGCCCTCTGCCGGATGGGGCTGTCTGGTCGGTGCGTCAGGAGCTGGACAGACAGTTACTGTTGTGGAGGAAAGCAGTGGTCTCCGAAGTGAGATGCCCAAGCCAGCGGTCTGGCAAGGTGACACAGTGGGAAGCTAGAAAAAAATATCAGTGCTTGTGTTGGTCTGGGTCAGAAGCAGACCCCGAGACAAGGATTTGGGCGCAAGCCATTCATTTGGGCGGTGAAGAAAACAGCAGGAGATGGAGGAAGAGGTGAGAGCCAAGAAAGTGTGCATTGTCAACAGGTTACCACTGTGGGCAAGGGGGCTTGAGTTGTGTGGGGAAAACTCTGAAAGCCAGAGTAAAACATACACCTCAGAGTTCTATCCCACAAGGAGTGAGTTTGCCGGGTGTTTATATGCCAACGCCGTCAGTCAAATTTGAGGACAGCTCCTGAGGGATGTTAATTCCTGTGGCACTTCGACCTTCCGTGGAAAGGAAGCCTTCCATGGCAGCCAGAGAATCTTTCACTCCGTTATGGCTGGATGTCCCTTCTTAGCATTTACACGACTTTTGTAACGTATAGAAGTGCACTGGTATTTCGACACAAAGTACTTAAAGGAATTGCCTCTTTTAAAGTTGTCACACAGGTTTCTCTTACAAAAAGGCAAGCGTTCCAAAATTGTTAACCTGCTCTATGCTGACAGTGATCGTCAGCAATGTGACCGCTAACAAGTGTATTTGAAAAAAATGTACTTATTCTATAAGATAAAGCAATCTTTTTTTTTCTTTTCTTTTTCTTTTTTTTTTTTTTTTTGAGAGAGAGCGAGAGAGAGCACAGGCATACATGCCTGCAGGCGGGGGATGGAGAGGGGCAGAGGGAGAGGGAAAGAGAGAGAATCTTAAGCAGGCTCCATGCCTGACATGGGGCTCAATTCCAAGACCCTGTGATCAAGACCTGAGCCAAAATCAAGAGTCAGATGCTTAACCCACTGAGCCACCCAGACGCCCCAAAGGTAAAGCAATCTTTTAAAAAAGTTTTATTGTGTATATTTTTAACTTTTTATTTTGAATTAATTTTAGACTTGTGGAAAAGTTGCAATGACTATATAGAGTTCCCATGCCCCCCTCACCCAGCTCCCTCCAACATTAGCATCTTCTACATAACCACAGTAGAATTATCAAAACCAAGAAATTAACATCAGCATCCTGTTATTAACTAAACCACAGACCTCATTTTTATCTCACCGGTTTTTATAGGAATGTTCCTTTCCTTTCCAGAATCCCATCTAGGATTCTACATTGCTCTTAGTTGTTAATTATTTTCTTCCAAACTGTAATCATTTATATCTAATAAACTGCACATAGTTCAACTGTACAATTTGGCCAGGCTCAATATTTGTATGGACACACCACAGTTGTTTATTCATTCACCTGTTGATGGACCTTTGGACTCTTTCTAGTTTGCAGCCAACACAAATAAAGTGGCTGGGAACATTACAGTCTTTGTGTGGACATATGCTCTCATTCTCTTGGATAAATACCCAGGAGAGGAAAGACTGGATTAGATGGTA